ATTTTTATATAGAGAGAAAATTTCAATTTTCACTATGTTTTATTAGTAAATTTAGCTCCTGAGTCATTACTTTTGGTTGCCATTGTATATATAATTATATTAAAATTTATTAATAAATTTATTATATTAAATAAATTTTATTAAAAACTTTTGATATTATTTATTTAATTACTTAATAATTAAATTACTATAATTAACTATTTTAATTAAATTTATTATAATTTTTTTAAATTCAATAATATAAATTAAGTTTTAAATTTGAAATTATTTAATAAAAAGAGTTTCTAATTAGTTTTATTTTTATACTAAACTTGAACTGATTCAATTTAAGTTCTAATTTATTAATAATTTTAAATAAATATAAGTTATATTTCAAATTACAAATCTTTATAAGATTATTTATAATTGATATTTAAAGAAATTATATGTAATTTTAATAAAAGTTAAATTTTCAATTTAAAATTGAATCTAGTTCAAAATCAAATCAGACTTATTATAATATAATTACATATCATGCAACATGTTATTACAAGCCTAATATTATGAAATATTCCTTGAATTCGATCATTATTTTTAATAACCTTTTGAATCTCTTTATAATCGATTGTAACGAAGAGAATTGGCCAATGGTTACGTGAAACAAAATGAATATGTTTGAAAAAAGACATTCTTTGATATTATAAAGGCTATATCTAAGTTTATTAGTAACTTATCGCGAGTCACATTTTCAAATAATGTGACTATTGATTTATAAAGTATCACAATAATTATTCACAATTCTGATTTGTAATCACCTATACTAATATTACCAAATCATTAGAAAACCTTAAATTTTTCAAACCGTTTTTTTGAAAATTATAATATCGACATGACTTCTTTAAAAGAAAATGATGTTACTCCAAACAAAGATTTGGCAGTTGAAGTACTAAATCTGAATTTTAGCCTCGGGGGACCACTAATTCTTCAAAATTTGCATTTGGAATTACATAAAGGAAGCAGGTGTTTATTGGTCGGTAAGTTATGATATTTATTACTAACAAAATGCCTAGTATGAAAAACACGTTACGATTCAAAACTTGGTTGTATTACAAGGTGCTAATGGAGCTGGCAAGTCTACATTATTGACTATACTTGCTGGAAAACGAATGGTCCATGATAGAGTTAATGTGTTTGGAAAGAATGCTTTCAGAGATACACCACCGGTAAAACTAAAATGATTCAACTAATGATGTGTGTATGCTACGCATAGATCGATAAATTTAAATTTTATCAATAATAATTCAGGGTGTAACTTATCTTGGAACTGAATGGGCAAATAATCCTGTGGTTCGAGGGGATATTCTAGTTTCCACCTTACTATCGAACATGAAAGGCGATAAATACGTCGAGAGACGTGACGAATTGATTGAAATTATGGATATTAACCCTAATTGGAGGATGCATCAAGTCTCGGATGGTGAGAGACGCAGAGTACAATTGGTGTTAGGGTTGATTCAACCGTGGGATCTGTTGTTGCTGGATGAGGTTACAGTGGATTTGGATGTTTTGGTTCGTAGTGATTTTTTGTTGTAT